CGAAATAAACATACGATTAAATGATTCAAAACTTATGAAAACATAATAATATGTATTATGTTTAAAATATTTTCCTGCAAATTGAAGATCTCTCCGTTAGATGTATAAAACATAGATCACTGGCTTACACTATAGAATTCCAAGACTAGCAATACTTAATTAAATTAATATTTTTAAGTGGGTGTACTTACGATACATTTCGATCGTGACGCTGGCGCTGACGGGGGCGGACAAGTTGCTGTTTGAAGCCTGGCAAGTGTACACGGCTCCCTGATCGTACCGTCCAAGCGCTTCGATGGTCAATTCGTTTTGTTTTACTGAAGATGATGACGCTGTGAATTGTCCGGAAATTCCTTCGTTTCCAGTATCCACCAATGTCTCTCCCCGCCACCATCTGACCTTTGGTTCTGGTCGACCTATGGCATACGATGATGGTAAGTTATAATTACTAGTAATATTCTAAAGATTTATTTAATTATATGTTATATTTAAAAATTAAACGATCATACACAGTATATAATATAGTATAGTAGTAATATTTACAAGTGTTCTTCTATTATAGATAAATATATTAGTAGAAGAAAGGTAGAAGTTATTCGATATCAGTAAGATAGTACCTATAAGATAGGACGCCTCGTCAAATAAATCTGATATATGAAATTGATATAGGTACGGTATTGTTTAACCATAAGCTTTATTCTCTGAGATAACGATCGCGTGTATATAATATGTTTTAATAAGATTTCTAAAAATATCAGATCAAAGACAAGTGCAGCCTAAAAAGCACTCTATCAACGCTGAAAGTGATTTTCAATCACTTATTATAACAAGAAGATGTATTCATCGTGAATGTGCTTAATATTATAGTTTTTGTAGAAAACAGCATAATATTTCTAGTGATATATGAATATTTATTTCAAAATATTTGTATGGTTTTGTTTTGTTGTGTATTTTTATGTGCGAACTGTAAATATTATTGATCTCGTAAATTAAAATATCGTGGAAGCTAAATGTTACTAAATACAAAAGTCGTTAATTTCCACAAGCGGATTSTATAAAAACATTAACGAAATCAAGTTAGAAACAAATTTACATTATGCCCTCAAAATAYTACCCGAGGAGTGTATTTACCATCAAACGTAATTTAACTAAATGTTTAACCAATCACAAACACCAGATACAATTTAAATCTTATATGTTAAAGCCGAGTTCACACTACATTGCGTCGAGTAAAATAATTTATCRATCTAACTGAATCAAGTGTTTCCATCAAGTATAGCACATGGTCAACTATTACTTAATCGAACGATCTCACAGTTACCAAACGATACCACATAGCATGATATATTAAACTTTTGACCACGTGGTTACTGGTTACATTTATTTACAGGAAAATGAAAACTGAAAAAATTATAAACGTTTATCATCAGGTACAATATTATTTTCATCAGTATTGCATTTTGATAATTATTGATRTAAACATGAAAAAACGCACGGCGCGAAAGTTCACTTCACGATTACTAAAAATACGACGCGAAATATTGAAAGACCATTAGTTCAAATCAATTAAGTATACAAACAATTTTGTTGTTGATATTTCTATATAAATATGTAATTTTCTATTAAAACATTATCATATGATCATGTTCAACAAATAGCCCATGCCACCCCGGGGGGTCTTAAATAATAACCATTCGCAAACAAAAACTACCCAACATCAATTAACAACGTTTTTAATTCATTGTTGTTTATTTAACGCAAATTTATTTAAATGAGATTAATTTATGGTCAATCGTAACTCAAAAGTGTACCTATTTTATTATCTATTAATATTAATCCAAAAAAACCCTTATCGATMGTAAAAAAATACAAATTATAAATTATAATACAATTTATTATTCTGTGTTAAAATGATAATTTATGTAATAAATGGTTAAATAATATGTTTATATGATAAATAWTATAATTTAATGATGGCTTGAATCTGATATCATGTGTCCTTTTTTCTCCAAGAAGATGAATAATGACAAAATAGTGAAAAGATACCGAAGATATCTCATGGGCAGAAGGCGATATTATACCACTGCACAGTAGTATAAAATATATGTTGTACAAACATAATCTGTTACAATAAAATAAATGATTATAGATCAAATCAACGTCAAAAGGGTTCTTAAAAAATAAAAATAAAAAT